AGTTGTACGTGTGACTAGTTGTACTCTCGTTATACTGATGTAATATATAAGCCAGTCTTCGGACGGCCCACCCGTTTGAACTAATAAAGTGCCAGGGGCCTAAGTAGTCACCTCAATATTAAAAAAAAAAAAAAAAAAAACAATTAGCTGACTATATAAAATTCTATATAAACAAAGTATTATTTATATAAAAATTTTATATAGTCAGCTAATAATTTTTTAGTAATATTTCAGTATTCATTAGGCCAATTTGAACAATCTAACCACTATTAGATATATTTTAGTGAGCTCTGCAACTTTTAATTAATTGACTTTGGTTATTAACTTAATAAAAAAAATACTTTTTATTTAACTCTACTCAGATTCCAGTATATAGTTAATATCATAGGAATTTTGCCCCAAATTCTAATATAGAAATTGTGCAGATTAATAATTAATGTAAATTTAATAATACTGTATGATCCAGCCTTATTTGTGCACTTTTGACCCTGCTGGTTCTTAATATCATAATTCTCTATGTTGCTTATGCTTCAAAGGGGTTTTTGGTCTTTTATATTTAAATGAGACACAAGTGTAAGTATGATATCCTTAAGTTTTATACTATTTTATTTTCAAGGTCCTCAACTATAGTTTCTTTCCTTATTTCTGAGGTTCCAAGGTTTTAAGGTTTTGATACTATAGTTGGATTCTGAACAACAAAATAAAGATAACAAGACTTAAAAAAAAAATTAATTGCTCTTGCTAGAATCAAACTAGCAGTTTCAAAGTCTTAAGACCAAGAATCCAATCAACTTAGAACTTTAAAAAAAATAATAATACAAAACCTCAGATAGTTTTTTACATGATTTAATAACAATTAATTTTTGTGGTTTCTTCTTCTTAGATTCAATAATTTTATTCTTAAGGCTATTACAAGAATCAGAACAGATAAGTTTTTTTTTACTATACAAATTGGTTCTTTTTTTTAGTTATAATCATTGGTTTTCTTTTTACTAATGAGCTTTTTTTAGTGCTGCTTTTACTGTAGTCATCGGTTTTGTGGATGCTTGAATCATCGCTACTGGTATTGCCATTTGTTAGAGTCGTCTTGTAGGGTTTCGTGTGGCGCCATCTCTAATTGGGCAAAGTACATTACGCCACTTCCGTCTTTAAATTACAAAATCAGATGTAACGGTAATATAAAAATAATTATGAAATTCAAAGTTTTTCGTGTCTTAATAAATTCAATATGTTTTTTGTCGGTTTTTTTTTGATCGTGATATCAGAGATTTCTAAGCGTCCAATAGAAATTTGAGAGGAAAAATTAATAAATCAGGTGTTCTCAAGCGCTCACTCAATGGACAGGTGGTAAAATTTTAATTAGTCGGAAATCGAATAAACTAGTTTCTTATTCTCATTTATAGTAGTTTGTGATTATAACAGTGGGTGCATTTGATTACGGTCCTGTGATCTCGAGCTAACCAATACGAAGTTAGGAAATGTTAATAATAAACTTTCAGAGCATTTAGATATCTTTTTGCTACCAGTTAAATCGTTGGAACTCTATATAAAATGACGATGTGTTTCTTGCACTAAACATCAAAAATATGAATTGACTCGAAGATTACGGGTCTAACAAATTTTGTGGCACGACTATGGTATTCTATTTGTAATAAGCTATTTCTTCATTTATATATATAGTAAGTATAGTCTAAAATAAAAGGTTTCGTTTTGTAAATTATATGATTATAAATTATCCATCACTTTAAAAAATGATAATTAATAGTACTAGTACTTTTATGTATATGTTTCTCATTAACTTTCTCATATTCATGCTTGATTTAATCAATAAGCAAGGTGTGACCTCTGCAGATCATAATGTCATGTAAAATCACGAGAAATCGACCGATTCTAGCAGATTTTTCGATTCTTAGAGAATTTTAAAGATTCCAAATAAAATATAGACGTCATTGATCGAAAATTATGATCAATAGGAAATTAAAATCTCGGAAATTTTCCGTTATCATCATCACGAAATCACAGGGTCACACCTTTTTGCAAACTGCCATAATTTAACTGCAAGCATAACGATAATAATTTCAAGAATGATAAGTTATATGTACAGTATAATACGAAAGGGATATTTGGTACCTGTAATTGATAACAACTGACTAAAGCGTATTAAAAAAAAAAAAATCAGAATGAAAAAAGCCCATCAGTATTAATATTTGAAAACAATGTATGCATCTCATGCTGATTTAGTTAATAAACAGTTATTGTAACAATTATTTATTAATTGAAATATTTGAAATTAACTATATTTAAATGAATAAATGAATAAATCACTTCTTATGTATCGTCTATTAAATTATTGCGGTTTGCAAAAAAATGTGAAATTTGCAGAACAAAAAAAAAAAAAAAGTAATCGATGATTTCTGATTCTGATTGCCGATTTTTTCAACATTTTTTTGCAGAAATAAAAGTTTTGTAACATATTTTGATTTAACATCTTTTGGAATATATTTTGCATACTCTTCATGTTGTAAAGAACTTGATTGTGTAATATTAAATTTTGCTTCTTTTCTAGCCCGGTAAAATTTACTATTGCATGATAAGCAAGAAGAAAATTTAAAAGCTGCACTAAATTCAATCTTATAAGGATTATTACATGATATTGCTAAGGAACTTTAGTATAACTTATATTTTAAATTTTATAAGTTGATAAAAAAGACATTAGCATGCTCCGGGATAATAATTTTAGTCATTAGAAATGGATTTTTTTTAAAAAATGTATGCTAAATAAATATATATAAGAATTTATATGGTTTGATATACATACGTCATCAGAAAAAATCGGCAATCAGAAATCAGCAAATTTCACATTTTTTTGCAAACCGCAATAATTAACTGATGGGCATAATGTGATTTGCCGATTTGCCTTATCTGAACTTGTACGTAGCTATATCGAGAAGAACGCACCGATCAAGTATCGATCTATCGCATCAAGTATCGATCTATCACATGCATGACTGATCCATTAGCACCTGCAGATTTTAATAAAATATACTTTTTAACATTTAACACTTAAATATTTCTGCTTTTTGTTTAACTTCAATTTTATTTTTATACAGTATACAGTATATCAGATATACAGTACTGTAAGTATGTTCCATTAGCATTTTTCATTTCTGCTAATTTTTAATAATATGTAGATGAATGCCTTATGTTTGTTTTATAAACACCAATAACAATAACCAGCTTGAAATATTTTTTTAGCATTGCATATAACGTATATATACGTATTAGCAGATATTGCATTTGTTTATTAGGTACTTTTAGCAAATATATTCACTCTTACGAAAAATTAAATATTATTTTGTTTACTAAGTACTTGCTACGCCAAAATACTACAGTATACTTACAGTATCATAATTACAGTAGTTTATTTTTTTTAATCTTGGTTAAATCATGATTTTTTTTATTCAAGATACTGTATTAAGCATATAGTAGCATTTGACTTAAACGGTATTACGTTGGTGAATATCGTATCAAGAAATGAGCAATTCAAGTTGCGAGCAAAAAACACCCTATAGTTTAATAATTTTAAATACAATATACTTTATTATATTTTCATCAAAAAAATATGTAATTTATAAAATCAAAAGCGTAAAAACCTATGTAAATATATATATATAAATATAAAAACTCCTAAATATAATAAATATAAATATAAAAAACTCCTAAATACTAAATATATAATATAATAATAAAATGTCGCAGTATTATCCACAGTTCTCATCAAAATATTGATCAATCAAGAAATGAGCAGCGCGTTTAGCGCGTTGCAACACATCTTCCTTATTACTATGAGTAACATTATTGGTAAA